ATTATTTAGGTTTAGAATCATTGCAAAAATCCAAATGTAATAATATTTGCTTTAAATCTTTAGAATTACTTTTATCACTATCTTATCAAAAACCCGAATTGTTTAAAGACATAGTGCAAGATGAAATCAACAAATATAAAGAATCATTATCAATAACTTCCCAAGAAATTTTTGAAAAACTTATTCGTGATGCAACTACGAAACTTCAACTATACATCCAATTAATGAACCAATCAAGTTTAACAACCACTAAAGGAAAATTAGATAAAGTTGATAGAAACTTAATAGATATAATCGCTGAGGAGCTCACTTGTCCAATTACTAAACAGATAACAGGAGATTTTGTACTTATAACATGTGGACATTCTATTAGTTGTTATGCTATTGATAAATGGAAAGAAGAAACAGCAATTGAAAATAGATTATTTGAGTGTCCTATTTGCAAAATTGAAATTGAATCAGAGTCGATCTATAACTTTCCAAAAATCAAAATATTAGAGGGTCTTTATAAAAAATTAGAAAAAGCAGATTATTTTAAACCTTTGGAAGAGCAACAAATATCACAAAATAAATTTTATACAGTAGAAGACGATTTATTTTTAAAATTTAATAAGCTCAAAATATTTCAAAATTCCATAATTTCAAAATTTCCCAAACAAATTTTTCAACCTAAAGTTATGCTACCTGCTTTTAATAAAGCGGCTAAAGCAGAACAACAAAGAGATTATGAAGCAGTAATAATGTGGTTAACTCAAGTTATACAACTATATCCAAAAAGTTATTCAATTCGATGTAGAAGAGCATTTGCAGCTTATAAACTTAAAATTTATTCGAAGTCTAAAGATGATTTAGATATAGCTATTCAACTAAAGCCATCAAAATCTTTGGCTTATATTTACAGAAGCTATATATTTAAAATGTTGAATAGATATGAAGAAGCACTTGAAGATTTAAATAAATCATTAATAATTAAATCAGATAATATTGATGCATTAAGTTGTCGTGGAGAAATTTATCAAATAAAGAATAGATATGATGAATCACTTGCAGATTTGAGTAAATTATTAGAAATTGAACCAAATAATGCATTTGCATTAAGAAAACGTGGAGAAATTTATCAAATACTGAATAGATATGAAGAATCACTTGCAGATTTAAGTAAATTTTTAAAAATCGAACCAAATAATACATTTGCATTAAGTAAACGTGGAAGAACTTATCATATGATGAGCAGATATGAAGAATCACTTGCAGATTTAAATAAATCATTAAAAATTGAACCAAATAGTGCATTTGCATTAAGTATACGTGGAGAAACTTATCATTTGACGAGCAGATATGAAGAATCACTTGCAGATTTAAATAAATCATTAGAAATTGAACCAAATAATGCATTTGCATTAAGTAGACGTGGAGTGACTTACCGTATGATG